TAATATTACCCTACAGTGATTTTTGAGTTTCAGAGAAATGAATAAGCTACACTGTGTCTTTTATGGCATACTTATGATTTGCTGCGCTTTATTGCATTTCAGACATTGACAAGGCACCCAGAATTACGACCTTGGGTCATGTTCAGCAAAACAGTCAATATTTTCACAATCTTTGGCCCCACACTGCATCGGACTGTGGTGTGGGGCAAAAAAAATGTCCCATTTTGGGAGTGGGACTTCAATCGGGGAGCTGGACACACACAGCGAGAGGTGATTATCTGTATTCCTGAGTAGATGGGGAAGTTAGATGCTCGATATAAAACAAATAACAACAATGGAGGTATTCTATCAAAGGCTTAGGCTCTCTTTATCACTGTAATTAGAGGAGGGATTTAATTTTACAATAAGTGCCTACAGGGAGGGGCCAAAGACAGGAACTTGAAATGGGTAACGGGAGGAATAAGGTTGGTCAGTGTCAGGCTGTTACACGTATTATGCCTGAGAATTATGCAGAAACTTAACATAACCCTTTTGGTTGAAAAATGGCCTGGTATTAGCGCCCCCGTCCTTGACAGATCTACAGCCAGATGTAAGACAGGATTGCCATTCACTCAGGGGCTTTTCCTGGGAAAAAAATAAAAAAATAAAAACAAAGAAAAAAAAGTCAATTACTCATTACTGCCAACATTTGGAAAGCAATCAAATTTTGTAACGGCCATTTCGGTGGGAGGGGAAATGGGAGGAGAAAAAGAAAGAAAACGACAGATTTGCTGTTTTCGACAGAATGGGAACCTGGACTGCCATCAGGTGTCATCCAATATGGCGAGGGATGAAATCATTGGGTGAGTGTACCTGTGATCTCGCAATCCACACACGTCCTTGCACTCGTCTTCTGTGTCAAAGCGGTTTCTTGTTGCCGTTTACAGCCCCGTACCAGAACTGGGGCGCAGGGCGTTGGCCTGCCTTTGCTCGTAATACAGGGATGTTATGAGTGTTCCCGACACGTTGGCCCCCTTGGTCTAGAACCACAGAAAGCGGAGGATCCAGGGTGGTACAATCCTCTTGCAGGAAAAGATGTCACATAATAGTTACAAATAAGGTCGGGACCACAAAATAATGGATTCACCATCCTCTTCCTTTGGGGGATGACCTGTCCACCTAATTTTCACCTCAAAAGTTCTTCTGCCCGCATTTCTTCTGAGGCAACATCTGTTTCTTCACAAGAAGGGAGCCCGGATTTTCTTATAAAATAATCAATAAGTGGGCCTCCCTTGGCTCCCTCATTCTACATGACCTCTTTACTAGCCGTCAATCACAAAGGACTTATAACTCGGGGAAGCCAGGCCACTGGCTCATACTCCACGGACTGTGGTCACTGCCACACAGCAGTGGGGGCTGCAGGGACCCCTTCGCTTTACCTGTACTCTAAACAAACTGGACTCATTCTATTTCAAGGCCTGGAAAGCTTTGGGGAGAAAACATAAAGTGGATGGTTTATTAGCATTAGCATACACGCTCTGTATCAGACTAGGCTTAGCTGAATCAGGAATCTGGAGACAAGAGTCAAAATTTTTTTTAGTACAGGGGTAGCTTTTACATTTAAAATTTGCACTGCATTTGTTCTTATTGGTACAATTTACACTATCACTTTTCTGACGACATGATGATTTTATATATATATATACACACACATATATACACACACATATATACACACACACACACATATACACACACATATATATATTATCATCATAAATTACTAAAATGATCTGCCCTCAGACTGAATTATATCACCTTATTAGTGTTATCCAAGTGTTAAAAGTGAAATATTATACTCAAGTAAAAGATGAAGATAAAAATCTTTCACTTTTACTCCTTATCGCAGACTTTCTTTATCAATCTTCTAACAACATAAAAATGCTTAAATGTAAGAGAGCTGAAGTTGGTTAACGACTGCAGCACAGACACAGGTGAGCACACTCCTTCTGAGACATACTCTGGAGTAATGGTACAATATATCATTGGTCATGATGAATAACGTTAGCCGAAACAATCATGGCTGTAGCCGGCGAGGAGGTCACCGAGGTCCAGACGAAGTGTATAATCAGGAGTTAAGAACGTCTGTTTCTGTGCTTTAAGTGTCCGCCTGGCAGCTGAACAGCTCCATGAGCAACTCATATTATGTGATATACATGTAACGGGTTGCACATGTCCAGTACAGCCCTGTCATTGTAATCACTCCATGTAACCTACATACACACAACACTGTGTGCAAGATCGGTCAGCGCTGTTTGTTCAAGATCTGAGCTCACACACTGTTAACCTGCATGCTCTCAAAACGCAACACGTCTACACTTTTGCACACAGAATCGTTTTCAGCAGCAAAAATATTCACGTTAGGAAATAATCTAATTCCATAAACAATGTCTGTTATCACCTACTCAGGGTGATGAAGGATCATCAGAGGATATATGTCCAGAATAAATATGTTCACATGTATGAGAGAGAATTCCGTCTCTTCTTGGCCATTATGAAGTAAAGATTTTCTGATTCCTTTTGCTCTCTAATGTTGATTAGATTAAAGCTGTTTGTTCAGTGATTATTAGGACTGCGTATTGGCAATACAGTAATTATTAGCAGGAGGTTTAAGTTAATTCTCAGATACCTCAGATAAAGCTGGTTCAAACTAAACCACAGCTGCAGTTTAAAGTGCAGCTTCTAAAGGACGCAGCAATGAGGTTTAAGAGACCACGTGAGTTTGATTTTAAATGTTAAACCTTCGGCCACGCTAATGGCAGAGCAACAGTCCCACAGTGTTGAGAACGTGTACTAATAAGTCTTCAGTCAAACAACTGATGTTTCACATCACACTATTTTTCACACTAGTTAATTGTCACATTTTTTAACACAACTGTGTGCTTGTTGGAGGAACGATGCATTTAAAGACAACCTCATAAACACTATTATAAAACACAAATACTTTATTTTAATGGAGCCTGCAGGTGTGATTCTTATTATTTCTGTTGCCTGATGAGTGTCTGTGTCATTTACATGAAACTGCACTTCCCCCTGTTCATTTTCTTTTGATAGTGTTTCTCTGTAATTATTATCAAACTGTTTATTGACTGCTGTGTTTTCTAAATGGATATGTAACTATCATGTCTCTGCATGCACTGCCTATTAAAGATAAATGAGAAAATATAATAGTATAGGAGCAGAATAAACTGTCTGTACCTTTAGGAAGAGCTGGCCTTTGTGTGGGCACAAGTTGTACAGATACACCTGAGGTTGATATGGTTAAATGTGTTGAAGAAGACGATGAAGAAGAGGAGGAGCCTCGGGTGCTGGAGGAGTCTGGCCTGATGTCTGTTTGGCGGTTAAATGTGTCCCCGCGCTCGGTTCCCCAGTTTGTTGCGTCAGTGAACACGTGCTGCCTTCCTCCTCCCTAATGGGGACAAAACCAGCAAACGAGGGTGAAACACATTCACCTTATACAACATACGTGTGAATGTGTACTCATACGTTCCATACATGTGCTGTGCTGGATCCTTTGCTGCCATGCTGAGTGGTCTCTATCCGGCCTCCGTCAATGTGAGTGCTGGTGCCAGTGTTGGTGCCGGTGTGTGTTTGTTGCTCAGTCACAGGACGGTACCCATAGCCACCGATGGCATATTTCCCGCTGTTGCCATTCCTGTTGCCGTTGGTTGCCGTTGTTTACCGTTGTTACCGTTGTAGCCGTTAGTTCCATAGCCGTTGTAGCCGTTAGTTATCTTGTTATATATCAGGGCTCCGTTCTCGTCCTCGCAGAACTGGCTGACCAACTTGGATTCCAGAGCTGAGACAGAAAGGAGAAGGAGAGGAGAGGTCAGAGCCAGGGACACAGAATGTGAGATTTGTTGGCTTTGCTAGCTTAAGGGGAATGTTGGTCTGTGTCGGTCGGTCCACCATTTTGGTCCAGACTGAAATATCTCAACAACTATTGGATGAAATGAAATTTTGTACGGACATTCATGCTCCCCATACGAGGTATCCTATAGACTTTCTTTTAGTGGCATCATGAGATGCCATGAATTTGTTACTCATATTCCCCTCAGGCTGATGTGTAATAATCTATGGTTTATGATTTATTTGTGATATTAAATGACCATACCTGTGGTTTTTTGTTGCATATTTTAGTTCTTTATTTGCAAATTGTACTCGTTTCTAACTTTGAACCATTTTTCAAATCATAGCATAATGGAAGCAGCACCCGGCTTACAACTGAATTACCATGAAATAAATACTCTGACAATGACAATCCAGGTATAGTTTGACATTTTTGGGAATTCACTTATTCCCTTTCTTGCTGCAAGGTTCAATCAGGAGAAATAATTGTTTTATTGGCTGTGGGAGATTGTGGCTAAATCTGATTGGATTAACTGAAAGAGGAGACATCCATAGCTGATAAATGTGAATGAATGAGGCTTAAAGAGAAGGTTTAGAAAATTTGAGAAAATCCATACCACTCTCTGTACTACTGTCTGTACACTAACTATGCCAGAGCTAACAGGTGATTAGCTTAGCACAAATCCATCAGGGGGAAACAGCTAGCCTGGGCATATCCAAAGTTAAAAGAAATCTGCCTACCAATCATAAATGATCATTATCTCATCTGTTTAATCTGAAATTTAACAGGAATGTAAAAACCTCCTGAGTCTTGTCGCAACAGTTAAAACCAAATTAATGCTCCCTGTGATGAATTACATATCAGAAGCAAGTCTCTGCAAGTTGGTTTTCTGTACTGTACTGACCTGAATGAGACATCAGTTTGTATGTTATGTTAGTAAGTAGTCAAGATTTCTGTCTAATATATACAAAAGGTATGATCTTGTACAGCAACTATTTATTTACACTACAAGAGCAGTGAAGATACTGGATTTTTTTAGGCCTATATTCATCAATTTGTCATAAACAACACATTCGTCAGTTACCTCAAAGCTTTTTTTACATTTCTTTTTCAACACAGATCCCACTGTAAGCATAATAAGCTAATAGCTCCACTCTAGCATCACTGTAGACACCAAAACACTATGACAGGTAAGTGTTTCTAACCTGGCAGGGTGTTGAAGTCATCAATGAGGAACATGTGCTCAGCGTCTGGGTCAGAGGCGATCAGATTCAGCTCTCTCAGGAACTCAGTCTGCGTTGGGTCGGAGGTGTTCACAATCCCCAGAGCAAACATCTCAATATTGGCAGCATGTGCTTCTCGTACTGCTATATCCAGCTTTACTGGCTCTCGCTTGTCCGTCTGCCCGTCAGTAATCACAATCGCCACCTTGCTGACTCCCAGGCGTGAACTGTAGAAGGCCTCCTGCGTGGCCTTACGGATAGCTGTGCCGGTGTAGGTGCCCTCTCCCATGTATGGGATGTTCCTGATGGCTTGCTTAATTTCCTGTTTGGTGACGTAGCGCGCTAAGTTGAACACCAGCTTCACCTCCAGGCTGTACAGCACCAGGCCAATCCTGGTGGCGTTGCGGCCCACTGTGACTCGATCTACGAGTGCGTTTACAAAGTCCTTGATGATCTCATAGTTCTCTGGGCCCACACTCTCTGAGCTGTCAATGACAAACACCAGCTCCATAGGCCTCTCCTTACACTTAATCCCACATCCTGAAACCACATCACATCAGTATATGAGATCATGGATGAAATGTCAGTTTGACAAGGTTCACTCTGTGGAATCTGATCTAATGATTTACGGATAAGATGAGACAGGGGCTTTGATACAGAAACTAAATCTTCTCTTATGACATTTGTGCAGCGAAGTCAATACTGAGAAGTGAAATAAATATTGCAAAGATCACAAGATACTTTACCACATATCTCTTTGATCATTCGAATGATGTCCTCTCTCTGAAATAAAATACGAACACAGTGTGAGCACAGAAACAAACACGAGCAATTACTGATTGAAATGTCAGCAGTGGATATTCAGACGCTTTACTTAAAGCTACAACAAGGAGTTTTTAACTGGTAATGAAACAGCAAGGGTAGGAAAGGTTGGAGAAATTAGCTAGAGAACCCAAAAAATCCCACCCCTCCCTTTAGGTCTCCTTCCAAAGCTACTCCCCCATTCTTCTCTGCCATTCTTGTGCCACTTGCTCGATAGCTTTAGCCTGGCTGGCTTGTGGAAGACTCCGATAATGCTCAAAGGTAGGCAGCTAGGTCTGTATTATGGATTAATACAGGCTGTTGACTGCTACACATACTGGATTTTTTTCAGAGCATTTCAACAAATATAACAAAAGATGCTTCTGAAATACATTACCTACTCTAGCTTTAATACTCTGTACGACCTACATAAACAAACATCAGCGAGAAGATAGAAAATAGGTATTTCTACATAGTTATTCTTAATGCCTACCCTCCAGGTCAGATTCCGGTCAGATTTCCCTTGAAAACCATGGAACAGAAGAAATAAGGTGGTGGGAACAATACTGTGTTTGTCCACAGGGTCCGCTAGGGTCATTACAATATAAAAGTCCCTAGTAGCTGCTTTAAAGGTCCAGGGTGAAGGATTTAGTGGTACTCATTCTGCAGAAAAATTATCATTGCACGTTTTTGGGTTGATTAGTGCTTCATTGATGTGTGTGTGTTGTATTTTACTGTAGTTGTTTAATGGTGATCTAACCCTGTGACAAAGTAGACTCATC